TGGTGATTGTATGTTGGAGTGACTTGCCCATGATTTTCATTTTCTTTGTTTTGTTTGGATGTTATCTAAGTAACCAGGGTACTGTGCTCTGCTATTCGCTAGTTGGCATGACTTACATACTCACCACCTGTCTACTTTCCCATTGTCAGCCTCCCGTATGTCTCCTCCATCCTTGGGAAATGGAGCGTTTGTCTAGGTCCTGTTTTCATTCAGGGTTTTCCACTAGTTGGTGTTTAATCCATGTCTGTATACTTCTTTCAAAGCTCAGGACTCCAGGATTATCTACTGTATCTCTGTCAATTGGTTTCTCTTTGTTGAAAAGGGTCTGTGTAGCTTGTCTGCCTTTTCCACCATCTTGCCAGAAGTCCCCATCCATTGGTTTTATGAATTTTAAATGAAATTAAGTCTTCATCTTTTTTTTTTTTTTTTTAATCTTTTACAGTGTAAAAGTCACTGCCTTTTACTGGGTAGATGCTCAGTAAATATTTGCGTTTACTTAAGTGAACAGTTAGTTTATTGACATCTCTTACTACACATAAATTTATGGTGCGAGCAATCAAATTAAGCAATTTCAGTCATACTAAATCCTTCAAACTTAAATAAAACATGATCTCAAAATTCACTCACACAATACCTTCCATATTTAGTACTCTGCCATATGGTCTTTTCTAATAGGTATTAAAGAAGTATTGGATTATACATGTATGTGACTGTAACATATATATTCATACATATGTAATAAAACACATAGTGGGCAGTTACAGATACTTACTAGACATAACCAGATACCTCACAGTATTGATTTTCCTGAGGTTGAAGGAAAAGGACCATTGTCTTGTGGAGAATCTCAAGTAAGTTGGCTTAATATAGTCCATAAGTTTTATGTTCTATCTCCTAGTTTGGTGAATACTGTCTAGGGTCTTAGAAACTTGTGAGTGTCCATCTAATAAGATACCAGTATTGGTATCTGCTCATCCAGAGCAAAAGAGAAAAAAGAAAACTAAAGACTAAAAGAAGAAACTATTCTACAGGACTAATAGTCTACAGGAACCAAGGCTTCATCTTCCTTGAGACCAGAAGCGCTAGATGGTGCCTAGCTACCTCTGTGTACCATTCTGATCAGATCACAATAGATGGACCCTGATAGAGAATACAAATAATATGAATAAGAAACGAAATGTGTGACATCACAACAGAACCAACTGAAATAAAAAGGATAATATCAGGATACTATGAAGAACTGTACTCCAACAAATTGGAAAATCTGG